CCTCAACTGAAGGCTTATGGGTTCATAAAAGCAGAATCCTTTTTTAATACATGGCTATCCGTGTATTAAACTATTGCAGAGTTTGCAAACTTCACTGAATCTTACAACACCTCCCTCCAAGTTCTTCAAAAATAAATCCGGTAAATATGAAATCCTGCAACAAAACCCGTTGCCAACTCTGTTCGCATATCTATTCAAGGGACACCATCATAGGATCTAACCACATGAGCCACACCATCAGGGGCTCGTTCACCTGCACTTCTACCAATGTGATATATGCCATCATGTGCCAGCAATGCCCCTCTGCCATGTACATTGGCCAAACTGGACAGTCTCTACGCAAAAGAATAAATGGACACAAATCAGACATCAAGCATTGTGGCATTCAAAAACCAGTAGGAGAGCACTTCAATCTCCCTGGACACTCAATAACAGACTTAAAAGTGGCAATTCTTCAACAAAAAACTCCAAAAACAGACTTCAACGAGAAACTGCAGAACTGGAATTAATTTGCAAATGGGACACCATCAAATTAGGCCTGAATAAAGACTGGGAGTGGATGGGTCACTACAAAAAGTAATTTTCCCTCTGCTGATACTCACACCTTCTTGTCAACTGTTGAGAATAGGCCACTTCCACTTTAAGTGAATTGGCCTCGTTAGCACTAACCCCCCCACTTGATAAGGCAACTCCCATCTTTTCATGTGCTGTATATTTATACTTGCTTACTGTATTTTTCACTCCACGCATCTGATGAAGTGGGTTTTAGCCCACGAAAGCTTATGCCCAAATAAATGTGTTAGTCTCTAAGGTGCCACAAGGACTCCTCGTTATGTTTTTTAAGCCAGCTTGGTCACAAGACATCTCCTAGTCCTTCCTCTCTTTTGCTTGCACGCTGATTCAGAGAACAGAAACATCTGTAGTCCATGAGCTCACCTAAGTATCCCTACACCAAAAGAGGCAGAGAACAGGTGATGCTAGGGTCCCCCACACTGACCAGATGAGAAGAGCACAGGCTACATTATCTTAAAGGGTGATGTAATGGCTGTTCTTCTCAGGATCTCCAGGCAGCATTGTCTTTGAGGCACACGGTCTCCTGAATCTCCCATTGAAGAGGTGGTGACTCATTACTGGCTCCAACATGGGCCTGCATCTAATAAGCAAAAGCTGGCCCTATACCTTTATTAAGTCACACAAAGTAGTATGATCAAAATAAAGCTTTAAAAATCTACTATCTATGGATAAAATGATTCATTTAAATTATCAGCAGATATTTAGTATCCACGGACCACAGATAATTTTCTACCTCCACATCTCTCCATGGTAATCTTCCAGGCATCCTTATCATCCAACTACACTACATCCCTGATGTAAACACTAAAAATATTACCTACACTTTTCATCAAACACTTATACAGTAACTCCTCACTTAAAGTTGTCCTGGTTAACGTTGTTACATTGCTGATCAATTAGGGAACATGCTCGTTTAAAGTTGTGCAATGCTCCCTTATAACGTCGTTTGTCCACTGCTTGCAGGAAGAGCAGCTCGTTGCAGCTAGCTGGTGGGGGCTTGGAACCAGGGTGGACTGGCAGCCCCGCTATCAGCTCCCCTCTCCCCTAAGTTCCCTGTGCAGCAGCTGCCCAGCAGGCTATCAACTGCCCACAGTTCAGCTGTCCCTCTCCCCACTGCCATGTGCTGCTTCTGCCCTCTGCCTTGGAGCTGCTCCCCGAGACTCCTGCTTGCTGTGCGGGGGGGGGGGGGGGGGGGGGGGGGGGGGGGGGGGGAGGGGAGGAAGAAGGGGGCTAATGTCAGGGTGTCCCCTGCCCCCACTCCTGCACCCCGCTTACCCCATCTTCCATAGAGCAGGGGGGACAAAGGACAGGGCTCAGGACGGAGGGAGCTTGCTGGCAGCAGCTGCAGTCTCAGCAAGCTGATCTAATTAACAAGGCGGTGTACTTAAGAGTAGGGTCAGAGTACTTAAAGGGGAAATGCACATCTCTCTCTCTCTCTCACACGGTGTGTGTCTCTGCGATGCTGTCTCCCCTCCCTCCATTCCTGCTGCCTTGTAGAATGTGAGAGTTAACCCTTGAGGGCTCAGCCAATTGCTAGTTCATCATTTAGCAGTAAGGCATTCCCTGCGAAATATCCCACTCTCTGACTTCACCACCTCAACCAAGCTTCACAATCATCATCATTGTGTACCAGTATTAAATTGTTTGTTTAAAACTTATACTGTGTATGTGTGTATACACACACACACACACACAATATAGTCTTTTGTCTGTTGAAAAAAATTTCCCTGGAACCTAACCCCCTCATTTACTTAATTCTTATGGGGAAATTGGATTCACTTAACATTTTCGCTTAAAATCGCATTTTTCAGGAACATAACTACAATGTTAAGTGAGGAGTTACTGTAATTAAAATCATAATGCTAGTTTAAATGCACAACTGTCAGATTTTTCTCAGTAAGTTACAAGCTTTCATAAAATGTCTTGATTAGATACTGGAAATAATAGAAACAGTTAAATTTAAAATCAGATTCTATTATGTTGATACAATAAACAGACTTGATCAAAAGTGGCTTGATCAACCTTACAATCTATTATTTTTCTGAACAAGGTTAGGTGTGCTATGGATCCAAATGGCATAGTTGTCTACAAGGCAGCACAAAACAGTGCACAAGATAAAATAGTTAATGAGGTTAGACGCCTATAGTGCAGAATTAATTCACTGTAAGAGGCGGGAACATTAAAATGCACATTTTGAACCACTGGATGTGCAAGAAGAAATTACTTCTGCTTAGTTTGCCCTTTCTTCTGAATTGCAGACAGAAGCCAAGTCAACTCTCTTGTTCCTATTTTGTAATTATGCCAAATCTGAAAAGAGTTCCATCAAAAAAAGGTATCTCCATTAAAAATGGAAGCAGAGGGCTCTGATGTTGAGTAATGAAGGGCAAATACTATTTCTACATTTTCCTTTACTAGTTGTCAAGACACTTTGGGCATAAAGCTAGGTAAGCATCTTTGGGGGGGGGGGGGAACCTGCACTAAATGATTTCAAGATTGCAAATTAGTGATAATAATGTGAAATGATTTTTTTTAAAACAATGTGTTTCTTACAATTATTAAATGAACTTATGATTGCACAAGAACTTAATGACACCTTACTCTCCATTACAGGGAAAAGATATAAATTTACTTTAATCAGTTATAGTGAAGGGGTTCAAGAAAAATACCTTTTTGTAAACACACTGAGGTTGGCAGAATGTAGATCTAGAATCGATGATCAGTGATAATTTTTTTCTATGCTCAAAACCATTACGAGACTAAATCTACTAGCTAGGGGAAAATACATAAAAGTAAATGTGTGTATGTGAGCTATCAGAAATCCTGAGGCAAAGGCCTTGCGAGAAGCCCAGCTCCCCATTAATCCTAGCTGCTGGGAAATGGAAGGATGTTGTGATTCTTAACAGGATCCTGGATCCTGTCTGGAGGGAGAGGGGTCATCTTTCACATCATCTGGTTAAAAGGGTGTCTGAAAACTTTCAAGAGCCTCCCTGCTGAAAGGGAAAGGAAATGTTCTCTCTTTTTCCGACTCTACAGCCTCCTGAGAACGGGGATTGTTGTATGCAGTGTAATTGTAGCTGTGCTGGTCCCTACTTTGTCTCTCTAATGGGGTTTGGTGTCTGTTTATAGCTGTCAAGTTTTGTGCAGCCCCATGTGCAACACTTGGTGCATAATAGTTATAAATATGACAATTAGCACACTGAATTATTTGTAAGTAATTTGTATCTGATCCTAAACTTCAGCTTAAGTTCAATACACTTTGCCCCGAACAGTGGTCAGGATAGGAAACGGACTTGCAAAACAATTTGGCAAATGTAGTAAGTGGGTGGGTACTGAAGGGTGTCTGGAAAGTAGGTGAGTATTTAGGTGGGAAGATGGCACAAATGGATTTGTGAGGTGAATAGATGAAAAATGGGATAAGGGGGGCTGTGAGTTAGCTATGGAAAAGCTAAGTTTGTGGAAGAGAATGTCAAGGGGTGGGGGGGGGGGGGGGGAAAATGGGGGTGGGGGGAGGTTCGGTGGTGGGGGGAAGCTAGGTTTATAGGCATGTTCACTAGAGATGGTTAGATAGCTTTGGTGAGAAGCAGAGGATGGGGGTGTATGTGTGGAGAGAGTGAGTGTCCAGAGGAAGCTGATGATGGTTAAAGAGGTGGCTTTGTGAAGATAGGGATGGTGTTGGGGCAGCTGGAACCTGTTGTGTGGGTGGGGAAAGATGAGTGGCTTGGGATGAGAGTGTCTGCAAGGGGCATGACTGGTTGCTAGGTGGAGGACACTAGGTACACCCCTCATTTTCTTCTCCATTACCATCTCTGCTTGTTGCTGCCACTGCCTCACTGCTTGCCTGCTCTTCCCAGATTCCCTTTTGCTCACATACAGGTCCACAGTACCTTCTAGTGTCCATGAGCTGCAATTGCAGGACCAGTCCTGCAGCCCAGCTGTAGGATTAGATAAGTATATGTAAATAGTTAAATTAGCTTAGCTAGAAGTGTATACATGCTTTGCAGTTTGTGTAAAGTGCAGATGTGTAGCAGTTTTGGAAAGGCCTTGAAAGATGGTATGTTTGATTGCAAATACTGGACCTGGAATATGGCTGATAAGATAGGAGGAAAATCTTCGAAGAAGAGGCCCCAATTATCAAAGATGGTTCTAACCAGTTTTAGCAAAGGAAACGATTTGAGAAATAGTGGCCATAGTCATAGGTCTGATAAATAAGGTATAAAAAGGTCAACTCTTGAGTTTGTTGCTAGTAGCTGCCTGTCCAGTTGGAGCCAGCCAATATGGGTTTGAGCATCCCCAGTGCTAGTCCTAAGTACCTGATCAATACAACAACAAGTTATTATATGTGTGAGAAGTGCTGAGCCATCTGGCTCCCGCCTCTCATGGTCCCACAATACCATTTTAAGAGTATTAATTTAGTGTTCCAACTGTACCTTATAAATGGAACTGCCTCCGATGATCCAAACCATGTCTATCTTACTTTTTAACTCTGGTGAGTCCAGAAGAACTAAAGCATCATCCAGACTTTTGGCGAGATAATGTGCTCCTTTTGGGGTTTCCCTAGAAAAATAAAGTTTGTGATAGTTAGTGTAAATTAAGTAGCTACTTTATATTTTGTCTAAATTTCTGTTTATAAACATGTCCAAATACATTTCACATTTAACACCATCTTTAGCAACAAGGTAGACTTTTTTTTAAAAAATAAGAAGTTTAATTAAAAGTTCCCACCATACAGTGGAATAGAATCTTCTGCATTACAAATCAGCAATTTATTTTAACAAACAACTAATTAAGTGAGGTGTAACTTGGGAATACGCAAGACAAATCAGCCTCCTGAAAGGGGTACAGTAGTCTGGAAAGGTTGAGAGCCACTGTTCTAGTGAAATGCCCATAAACAAAACAGAATTATGTGTAACACACTAGGGTTGTTTGTGTATGTCCAGGTGCTTTTGTTTGTTTGTTTTGTTGAAGAACATGATTGGGCCCTCTCTTTGTAGACCGATACAATGGCTGATGGGGATGCAATACTGAATAGGGTATCCTCTTGAGAAAGCTAAAATTTTGGATGATTGCTGAAATTTTTAAATGCTGTAGGTCTAGGAGCAGATGTGTGACATTGCTTAACCCAGTTATGGGCAGCACAGTGTAATGTAGCTATAATTAGATGAAAACATACTTTCTCCCTGCTGCTACTCTTTATCGTTTGGGTGGCCTATCTATCAGATTTCCTGTAGTCAACATGTTCTCTCAAACATTAACACACAGTCCTGTCTCTTGAACTGTTTTAACAATTTTGGTCAAATAAAAAGGTTTCTGACTCTGGTTTAATGCACTTCCTGTCTCCTTAGTAATGAAAACAATTAACCCCCCCTTGCCCTGCAAACAACAATCTTTGCACAGAAAAGCATAACAATAGAGCATGGCCCTAGCAGCTGCAAAAATTAACTTCACCGACTGCTATATGCAAAATGAATAAACATCCTCATCACTTTAGGAAAAGCTCTAATCTACATTACACATTTCCCCAGTGGGATTCCTTTCTACTTTATTTTGGCTTCAATTTACTATGAATAGCGTTTACAATGTGAAGTGCATAATTTCAAGAGTGTTTGGATGTGTTACAGTTTACTTTTATTTGGCTCTACTGAGCAGGGTAGGGAAATAAATTAATAGAATATCTCAAAATGGGGAAGAGTGGAGAAAGAGTCATGAAGAATTATCCAACCTGCAAGATGTTTACATTTATTGGCTTCTGGTTATGGATGTTTACAAGTTAACATTTGTTGTTAAAAGGGGAGTTGCTTGTCGCTAGGGAGTGTGGTAGCTTAAGAGAAGCATGGAGCAAGGCTCTGAGAAACTGGAAGTATATGTTTCCCCTTAAAGGCTATTACTACCCAAAATGAAACAAAACTAAATAGAAAAAGAAAACCCGCAAAAAGTAACATAAGCAATCAAATTACCAAGCAGTCAAGAAACTACAGAAATGTGATTAAATGCAGGAACTAGGGAGAGTATGAGAAGGCTCAAAATGTCTGCATGTAGATTTGACATACGCATATATAAGAAGTTAAAGTGAATTCAAGAATGCACATATGAAGAGTGCTGAATTGACTGCTCTGAATATTGGGGTCACCCACAGAACAGGTGCAGAACCAACCATGACTGTCCCACCAACAATCTTCCAGAGGAGCCAGCTCCAGGGGTATGAGAGTAAAATAGTTTCCAGGCCCAGACCTGGGTAATAAGTTGGCCAATTAATGCCAATTATAATGATGTATGCACGTGAGAATGAGAAACACGGAATACCTGTTCCCTGAGAACTGGATTAAAATTAAATTTATGACATGGGACATTAAAAATCTCAGAAGGTAACACCTTTTGACCCTGATCCCGCAATCCCTATATAGTATGAAGATGGACTGCTGAACCCATATGGATACCCACTGATTTCAATGCAGCTCCATTTGAGCACAGCAATCTGCCTGTCTATTACACACTGCAGCATGGGGTCCCTTGTAGTTGGCCTGGACTGGATTTGAACTGGTGGCATAGGCAAGCACTTCACCTATATCTCATTAAGCAATCCAGCAGCCTTTATTACGAAGATTCGTAGGTGACTGGGAATAAAATTAGTTTCCCTGGCTCCTGGAAATACCCTAATCTCTCTCTCTCTTATATAAAGTAACATTATGGACAACAATTAGGCTGTCCTCTCGTGTGTTGGAACTAGAATAATGATGTTATGTGGGGTAATAAATGCTTACTAGTTGTTTTTTGAAATGTGTTGCACACATTCATTCTACTTCAGGTGAGTGTGTGCCCAGAGCATGACTGACAGATTCCCCTCCACCTCCGTTACCTGTCAGGGTGCCTTGAGTGCCCTCTGCTGCTGTGCATCTCTGCATGAAGATATAAAATATAAAGGGTGGAGCTGTCCCCAACACCCTCCCCCTCCCTCAGTTTCTGCCTGCCATACAGACTTCAACAGAGATGGGAAGGAAGGTGGGTCATGAAATGGACACGTGCAACACATTTCAACAGAACAAGTTATGGAAAGGTAGGTAACCATTTCTTCTTCAACTGATTACAAACATTTGTTCCACTGTAGGTGACTCACAAGCAGATTGATGTGGAGGTGGACCTGCAGTCTATTTGAACAGTGATTGTAGAACAAAAGGCCTGAATCTTACTGCTCCTGGACTGATGGGCTATAGCGTAATGAAAAGCAAATGTGTGTACTGATGACCAAGTTGCTACTTTGCAAATGTCCAGAATAGGAACTTGTGCCAGAAAAGCCGCAGATGCTGCAAGTGCCCTAGTTGAATAGGGAATCATTCCAACTGACTTACCCTGAACAAGCGGTGAACCAAGTTTGGGAACCCCTGTCCTAATTGAAGGCTTTCTACTATTTATAAGTACTTTTTGCAAGCCTTTTCTAATGGTGTTAACCCTGAATAAAGCTCTGTGTTTATCACGGATTCCATGACTTGCCGTGACCTCCGTGACTTCTGCAGCAGCCTGTGCGGCTGGCCTGGGAGCCGCCTGAGCAGCTTGGGCAGCCCATGGGCCAGTCGCACTGGCTGCTGCTGGGGCAATCTTGCCCCCCCCCCATCCTCCAGCAGCAGGAATTTGGGTGTGGGGGGGGCTCAGGGCTGGGGATTGGGGTGCGGGGCGATACTTACCACAGGGGGCTCCCCTTTCTCAGCTCCTAGCTCCACATGCTGCCCCCCAGGCGCTGCCCCCGCCCACAGGCACTGGCTGCAGTTCCCAGCCAATGGGCGCTGCAGAACCAGGGCTTGGGGTAGAGTGGAGGCAGCAAGAGCTGGAGGTTGCCACTTCCCAGGAGCTGGGTAGGGAACCCGCCCCCCAAGCACCTGTGGCGTCCCCTCTGGGCCCTGGCATCCCCAGGGCCACCCCCTACAGCTGCTCCTCTCCCCAGGTTATAGGCCGTGACTTTTGGTTTACTGCCCATGACCTATCCATGACTTTTACTAAAAATACCTGTGACTAAAATGTAGCCTTAGCCATGAAACATCGAGCCTGTCAAGTGGAGGGCCTGCAGGTTGAGGTGGAGGAGGTGTCTGGTTCCAATGGAAAAGACAGTGGAGGTCTGACTGACAAGGTTAGCAGGGTCAAGAACTAGTGCTGCCAAGGCCACTCTGGTGCTATAAGGTGAGCATGGCCCTGTCTGATCTGGGACAAGACTTTGGGCAGTAAAAGAATTAGACGGAAGGCATACAGTAAAGTGTTCCTCCAGGGCTGCAGAAATGCACCTGTCAATAAACCTGGACTGTGACACTTCCCCACCCTGCAGGGGAACAGAAGTGATGGAAATTTCTACTGGTCCCTGTTGCAAACAGGCCCACTTGATGAGTCACTTATGGTCGGAAAATGGATCTGGCCATGTCCAGGCATAATGGCCGCTCTTAGTGACAGGAGAAGGACCTGCTCATCTGGTCTGCGAGCGTATTCTGCACCCCTGGAAGGTAAGCAGCTCTGAGGTGAATGGAGCCGACTATGTAAAACTCCCACCGGAGGATAACCTCCTGGAACAACTGAGTGGAATACCCTCCTTGTCTAGTCACATAAAACATAATCTGCTAGTATTAACAGACAACACAGCAACTCTGTCCCTTGAAATGTGGAAGAAAGGCCAAGCTCGCAAGATGGACAACTCCCAAGTCTCTGATGTTTATATGAGCCTTCAGGTCTTGGAAAGACCAAAGACCCTCAGTCTGCAGGGACTGTCCGGATAAGGCCTTTTCCTGTAGCCACATTAGGAGAGAAGCAGCCATTAGCCAAGAAGCAGCAAGTCTCATCTTCACATTCCATCTAAGTTACATTAAAACAATGTAATATCGGGCTGTTAAGGTGGTCCTGTCCTACTAGCACCCACCATCACCAGATAAAGAAACAGATCTTAAAATGGTTAAAGAAAACTTAGTTTGATAGCATTCGGTCTGGCAAGAAATCACTTATCAATAGTTATGGTTATGAAATCCTCATTTCTTTGTTTTGTCTTTATGGCCCCATTTCTCTATTTTTTGTTGGTATGATCTCTGGTTCTTTGATTGTTTCTGTCACAATTAATTTTGCTACGTGTAAATCAATTAAGGTGGTGGGGTATGATTGTTTTACAATATGTTAGGATTGATTAGAGAATTGTTTAGTAATATTTTAGTAAAATGATTGGTTAAGGTATAGCTAAGTAGGACTCAAGTTTCACTATATAAACTGGGGTCCAAGAAGGAGACCAGCAGAAGGAACAGAAGAATAAGAAGGAAAGACCTGGAAGAAGAAGAAGAACTCACCTCTAAGACACAGCCTAAGATCAAAGTTGCTAAGAATCCTCTGCACGACCATGACGTGCAGCAACCAGAATCCAGACAGGACTGACCTTGTCTGGCTAACAGGGAAAGTCTGCCTGCCTGATCAGGATTGGTGAGCATAGCATTGTATGCTTAGCATGTGTATTTTACTTGGTAATTGTTAATAAATAGAGGATAAGGATATTTCTGTGTAAGGCTTTTTCACTGGTAAAAGGTCCTGCAAACCCACAGAAGGTTACGCCCTGAGCCCTAGGAACAGGGTAAGGATGGGTGCCCCTAGAGTGTACGAGTAACAGAATTTTTGCAGGTAATAGGACCCCTCCTTCCATGTGTGCACCCCAACCCAGGGACAATGCATCTGTGACTAAGGTAAGTGCTGGTTGCAGGGGAGCAAAGGGAATCCCCCCATACAACCTTGCAGATGGTCTGTCCACCAATCCCGAGAGGACAAGATTAGTATTGGTACTAGAACCACTGTGTCTAAGCGATGACTGCTTGGGGAATACACTGAAGCTAGCCATCCTTGTAGCTTTCTGAGATGTTGTCTGGCATACTGCACTACATAGCATGGCAGCATGTACCTAGGAACCTGAGGCAGCTGCATCCTTTAGTGACAGGATGTGTTTTTAGTTCCAGAACTAAGCTCCACAGTGTTTCAAACCTTGATTGCAGTAGAAAAGCTTTGGCCTTTGTAGAGCTTAGGACTGCTCTGATCAATTCTAAATCCAGTACGGAGAACAGAATTGATTTGTCCACATTGACTAGGAGCCCCAGTGCATCAAAGATAGACTGGATAATGGCTATTCTGGACAGTACTTGAAACTTGGACTGGCCTCTCCCTAGCCAGTTGTCCAGGTAAGGGAACATGTGGACCCCTGACTTTTGAAGGAATACTGCTATCACTTCTATGCATTTTGTAAAAATGCAAGGAGCTCCCAACAGACCAAATGGAAGCACTGTAAATTGGTAGTGGATCCCATTTAACATGAATCTGAAAGACTTCTGGTGGTTCGCTACATGAAAGTAAGTGTCTTTCAAGTCATGGGCAGTGTACCAGTCCCCTTGCTCCAGTGAAGAAATAATGGAAACTAGGATAACCATTGTCACAATGTCTGGAGTGAATCACAACATGAATGCCTACATCAGGGCAGACTGTCAAAAGCAGGGCAGACATCCCAAACTGGTGGTATGTTCTATAATTAGATTTCACAAACCCAGTACCAAATGTGAACACCCAAAGTACTACAATAGTCTTATGATGGAGTCACAGATAGTCCCCTTAGATACTCCAGTCTATCTTGGCACCCAGGCAAGCTGGACTATGTGAAAAATGGTCACTTACACCAAAAACAAACAAACAAACCCACAATTATTCCAGGTTATTCCCAGTCCCAAGAGACCAGAGACTCACCCAGGTAAAGTTGCATCCTAGATCTCACACCAAAGACAACACTGGTAGGCCAATTCTGTAGTAAACCAACTACAGGTTTATTAGCTAAGAAAAAAAAAAGTTATTGAGACGTTAAATCATGTAAAATATATGTACAGGTGAGTCAAAGTCTATAATTCCAAATGGTAGCAGAGCTGTAGTAATCTGTCAGTTTCTAAAAAGTCTCTCAGGGCTACCCAGTATAACTCTGGGGATCTCAGTCTACTTGTTCACTTATTTTGCTCTGTTAGAATTCAGATAGTCCAGAGATGAAGGATCTTTCCTTGAGTCCATACTCACAGTTTCTTCTTACAGAAAACAAGCTGACAGAGTCACCACACATGTGGGCTCTTTCTTTGATTGGCGAAGAGAGTATGTAGAGTCTTTGATCAAATCAACCGTGCTTAAGATTCTCAGATCTGAAGTGACGTGGGACCAAGCCCTTAGGAAGTGGGATAAATGATTGGCAAATAGGGTGGCAGGAGCAGATGGCACTCTGGGGCCTGGTAGTCTGTCCTTAAACATGTCAAAACCCTTGTTTGGACTAACAAGCTGCTGCAAGAGACGAAGGTGGTGGTGGTTGTTGACTGGCAAATGACTTCAGCATCACTTCTGAATCCTTTAGGCTATGGAGCCTATCACCTGCTTTGTCCGAAAAAAGGAAAGGTCCTTCATATGGGAGGTCTTGGATGGTCTGCTGAACAGGAGTGATGGATTCTTCCTAAAAAAGTGTGTGTGTGTGTGTGTGTGTGTGTGTGTGTGTGTGTGTGTGTGTGTGTGTGTGTGTGT